CTAAAATTTAAAGTAATTGCCTATAATGTAACATATTAAAAAATAATTTCTTCTAATATTATTTTTTGATGTTAAATTTGATATAACTGGCCAAAAATAAAACCCTGCTTTTTCTATAAGTTTGTAGAATTTTAAATCTAGATAGTAAATTACAATTATTTGATAATGAAAATGTTAAAATCAAAATATAGTCTACATTATGTGAAAAAAAATATGCATACATTTTGAAAAATCAATTGGAAACAACAAAAGGATGAAAGTAAAATTCCAAAATGATTGAAAATGTTAATAAATAAACAAAATAATTCAAGAAATCTTATAACTTTTTCTTCAAATTTTATTGTTAACAAATTCACATACAATACAAATACATTGTGTGTGAATAATTGGATAAAAGGGAATTCTGCATACAAGTGTATGAATTAATCATCCTTATTATAATCAGCATTAAGTGTGTGTGTGTGTGTCTAACACCATTTATCATTTTTAGCATACAGAATTTGACTATATTAGGAAGAAGTTCATCAAAATTGAAAACATGAGAAGGCATCAAAATTGAAAACATGAGAAGATCAGATCTATGCATTATATGATTTTCTTCTGTTTTCTTCTACATATAATGTATGCATGTGCATCTAATTCTATTAGTTCCCCACTTCTTATATATAAAATGTTTATGAGAAAGTGGATTTCTGGAATTCCATTTAGAATTTCCTTAAAACTATATATATATATATATATATATATATATATATATATATATATATATGTATATATATATATATATATATATATATATACACACACACACACAAGACAGATGTTAATGACTAAGTTGATATTTTACTAAGCTTAGCTTAATTTGGCACAATGCCAGAATAGTGGTGCCCTCAATTAGGATCAAACTTGCTATATTTGCAATAATAGTCTGTGAGATTAGCTGGTAAACCATCACTCTACAGTTGGCACCTCTTTCAGTTCCTTCTGAAAGATTAATCAGGATGAATCATTAATAAAAGTAAAATTTAAAAATATAAGTTTTTAAATTCTTACCTTAAATTAATAAAAATACCCAATCATAGTAAGTATATATATATATATATATATATATATATATATACAGAGAATTAGAGATAATATTAATATAATAGAAATTTCAGTTTAAGTATTTTAAATTATAATAAGTAAATGTAAAAAAATTTGTTGTTACTGATTTATGTATTCATGAAAGTCTGGCTTAATAGTGTCAATAAAATTTAAGAAATAATTGTATCTTGTAACTGATTCATATATTAGTCATTGTTAATGATTTGAAAACAATGATGATTGTGATTCCAACACACAAAATAATCATAAAACATTTATTTAGCAGATCATATTTCTATTTAAATATTTTGAAGTCATATTTTTTTCTTGCAGCTAATATTCTATAAATATTAGTACAAATGCAATATCTGAAGAACTATAATAAGCCAACAGTAAAAAGCCAAAAAGCAATAAGGCATTTGTACTAATTAGTTATTTAAATTCAAAAATATTTTTAAAGATTTCCAAATTACTGTCTTTTGTTACTTTTATGTGTATTCCAAATTAGAAGTTAATCATGAAAGAAATAAACACACCAGGAAACATTGATTTCAAAGAAGCCTTTTTTCAGATAACAATTGGTAATTGTGTGAAATTTATTATAAATTATTAATTCATAGTAAATAATAAGTAAAATTAACAATTTCCTATTCAATCCACTTTATATAACAGGAATTAAGTATATATTAATTAATCACTTTTCTGATTGATGTCACTTCACGTGACATCTGTTTTAGCTATTTAATCTTTAAATATTTAAGGAATATAATAGTCTTTATTCTCATCTTAGATAGAAACTGCTATTAAAAAATGGTTTGGTTAATCTTATTTACTGTTGCTCTTTCAATGTTATAAAAAAACATCTGAGTTTGTATACCATTTTAAAGGAAAAACAAGGATCAGTCAAACAAAGAATATCACAAGATATCAAAACAGTTTAGTGAAATATCAGTATTTCACTTGAAGAAACATTAAGATTCATTTCAAGATGTTTTATAAGAAATAAAATGGAATACATATATGAAGCCACAAAATACAGTATGTTATTTCAATAAATCTTTAGCAATATTCCCTAGTGAAACTTATTTTTTCTTTTGAAAATTTTCATTACATAACATTAATAAATATATGTTTACACATATTTTGCAACTGATTGTATTTCAGTTTAATTTCTATGTGCAATTTGCATATTAAACTATAATATTTGCATGCAAGTATATTAATCTTGCACATTTTCAATCCTCTAATTTTTGCAAAAGGTATTTATTCCTAATATGAGGGTCAGCACAAATTTTGTTAATATTTTACATGTATGTAAAAATGAACATGAGTATGTATGTGTGTGTGTGTATATATATATATATATATATATATAAACATTTGTGTTTGAAAATATCTTTATCAATTTATTATGTATAATAATAGCTAAGTAATACTCACTTTTAAATTATTTATCCTATAGAGAAATCAGAAATTATCAAAATGATTTAGATCTAGTCTTTATACAAAATTTATGAGTGTTGTAAAATAGAGAAAAGAAGCATGCCTATATTAAAAAAAAATCTCTGTTTTACTTGCTTACTATATAAAGTATTTTTAGTTTTGCATTTTGAAGTAAAAAGTAAAAGAATATATAAGCTCAGCAGGCAACAGATATATTATCCATCACAGAAAATGTATATCTGAGTTTTGGCAAATATGAAAAAGAAAATAGGGAATTCAGGTGAAGAATCAAACAACTTTAAAAATCAAGGTTGGACAAAAGGTGGATTGTTAGGAGAGTGATTCAGTGGCTAGGGCAGGAGTAAATTTTTTTAGAGTAAAGAATTTTGCCATTTTTTTGGTTTATTTTATAATTTTTTAATTTTTTTTTTTAAATACTTGCCTTTTTCCACTTTTATTCGTTTTTTTTTTAATATTTTTTTTCATATTTTTTTTTACAATTTCTCAAATGTTAAAAATTGAATTAGTATTTTTGTTCATTTTTTTTAATTTAAAAAGGCACCATGAAATTCACTAACGGTAGTATGGGATGGTAAAGTATAACATTAAGAACTTTTTGAAAAAAAAAAAATGGAATTTTTTTTAAAATTTTCGAATATCACAAGTTTTTTTTCTTTTCTCTTTCCATTTTTAATTTTTTAAACATTTAATTTCTTCTTCTCCATTTACTATGTTTATCATTGTTTTTTTTTTAGTTTACTTTTATCTACATGCATATATGTATTTATAACTGCAAAAACTTTAGCGCGCACACACACACATAGATACATACACACATACACAGGGCTGGTATATTTCTTTCATTTTAAAGCTGATTTTTTTCACAAAAATTATCATTTTTTTTCTATTAAAATTTTAACTGGTTCCAAATTAAATGCTTATAGGAAGATACACATGTTTCATTGCTTTGTGTACTTGTAAGCAAAAAAATAAGTTATTTTCATATATCAATAAACAATAAATAATTTAATAAATTAATGAATGAATAAATATATAGATAAAAGTTGTATGTTCTCAAGCTGGTAAAGTACATATAACTCAAATATATGTTAATCCATTAGAAAACCTTTGAAAATTAAAAGTACATTGTAAGTTGAAAAAAGTGAGGACAAAATAAAATTGTAAAAATTGCAATCCTTCTTGATTTTTGTATTAAATTTTAAAATGATATAAAAAAGAGGAAAATTATTTAAAAATTTAATTTCCCTAGCCATGACAAAATCTGTTTTCTAATTGTTCACACAAATCATTACTATTTTTAAATAATACTGCAAACACACAAAATATCCTGATCAATAAATTCAGGAAATAACTTTGCTTACTTCTTTTGGTTCAGTTTTATTTTATTTATTTATTTTTTTTTTTTGCTATGATTGCAGTTTGTTCTTTCTTTCTTTTGATAGCCATTTTAAAAATTTATTTATTCACCATTGGTTTTTATGTTAAAAGATGAATATTGCCTTAAATTTAGAAAAAAAACAAACAAATATAACATAAAAGTTTAAATATTAAATATAAAACCTTAGAAAATATCAATATAAAATTTGAATTTTTAACTGAAATATTAACAAAAATGTTTTCAATGATAAATGTAAAATTAAAAACAATAGATTTTAAAATTATTATGTTTTAAAAACAATAACAGTTACAGCTTAAACTTTTCATTTCAAACTTGGTTTTTAAAAACTTATTAAAAACTTACAATTTCAAAACACATTTTACATTTAAAACTTGCTTATTCCAATTAAAAAAATTAAATTACAACTAATAAAAATGACTTTTGAGGAGTAAGAAGGAAACAATGACAAAAACGGTTATGGTGAGAGGATTTGGTCCAATGGTGACTTAATTATTTAACATTGGCAACAAAAAAAAATTAGAGCTTAATTCATGATATTAATGAATGGACATGAAAATAGTTGACATGAATTTTTTCTTTTTTCTTTTTTTTAACTTTTGAAGTGTTTTCCCTTGGAAGAATAAATGTATTGAGAGATTGTAAAGTAGCAGTGGCTGTCCTTTCAATTCTTTGTTGGTATAGTATCAAATCGCAATATGTATGGCTGGACCATACTGTTTGATTGTCTTAAACAAAGTAACACAGCACAAAAGCTATCAAAAGGACATATGTTTTAAAAGAAACTACTACAGCAGATAACAATCAAAAAAGAAGTAACTGGCGAGTAGATGAAGTAGATATTAATAGTATCAGTGATTGTAGTAATAGCAGTTGAAGTATTTTCTTGTGCAGAATGCAAGTGCAAAGAGTGATGTATGTATGGAACTAGAAATACAAAACTAGGTGGGAAGTAAAAATGACCAAACCAATGGTCAGTACGAAATACACTCTTAATGACAGACAGTTGTGGGCAAACTGAAGTTCCTCAATAATTGCTTTTTTTTCTGATTTTTCACAGAGTCTGAAAAACAGAATAAAAAGAGATGATAGTAAATAATAAGAGAGATAAAACAGTATGACAAAGAAAAAAAAATTTTTTTCATTAAATAAAATTCTTTTAAATGGTGTAATAACTTTAATATATCTTTTCTGTTATGTTAATCAAACTTAGTAGCCATATTCTACGTACACTAACTCAAAGTTGCCCATGAGCTATAGTTATAGCTCTCTTCATGCTAATAACCTATTAGCTAAACCAATCCCATTACATTTCCCTGAATCTTTTGGGTTTCACACCCTGCATGGATCTACAGCTTCTCCTACATTCTCTCACTGGTCTCACGAGTATTTCTCATTATGGGGGACCTTGATCTAGTTCTTTTATTCTCAGTGTCCCATGTTTCGTACTCCAAGCCTTCTGAAAAATTTTAATCATCCATTGATTCCTCTGTCCTGCTTTCTTATTCATCTAGTCATTGGAACTAGCTTCACTTTGTACGTACTTGTAATTTGGGCTAGATCTTAACTCGTCTGCATAACAATATTTTTACTATTCTTGCAAATTAATGCTGTGTTGTATCCTTTTTGCATTATGAAATTCGCCTTTCCTGGCTCATTTTTTTTCTTTTGTACCATATGTTTTCATAAATAGAGTAAGACATGGTTAATGGAACTCTAATCTGTCTGCCCCCCATTAATGCAAATGGCTTTCTAATCTGTCAACATGTGGCACCATTCTGTAACTCAACAATAGTATTGGTAAGAAAGTTTCAATCTTTTCTTGTTGAGAAGAAAGTACTTTCAATCCCATCTTTATTGTTTGGATCATTCATTCAGAAATTCCATTTGATTGAGGGTGATGAGGAGGTGTTTTATATGGGACAAAGCCAATCTTCCTTAACTATGAGCATAGACTTTTGTCACAGAATTTGGGAGTATTATCAGTTATTACTAAAGTTTTTGATACTCCATTTCTAGCAAATATTATGTGTAATATTTGTTTTACAGTAATAGATTTTTTATTCTGAACTTGGAAAACTTTAGGCCAGGTGGAAAATGTGTCAACCAGCAACAGACATAAATCTACCCAGTTAATTTGTGCATGATCCATATGAACTCTAGACCATGATTCTGTTTCCAAGTGTGTAACTTATTGTGATGAAAATTCTTTATATTGGCACATTTAGGACGTAATTCTCCACATCTTGAGTGTGTCCCGGCCACCACACTCCCAGTTTTAACTGTTTTTGTGTAGCAGTTATCCCACAATGCACATCATCATGTACACTTTTATTTACATTTCTACATTTTTCCAGTGGTATGGCTAAATCCCTACTACAAATTAGACCATTTTCTATTGATAGTTTGTGTCTGTTTTCTTTGTATGGTCTTTCTACTTTTGAACAATTACTCCATTTATTGTGCCTTATTCGAGATAAAATTCAACTTAAGACTGGATCTTTTAACGTCTCCATAAATAGTCTATTCATGGGCAACACATTTCCACCCAATGCAAAATTTCATCCTCAACATTTTATGCTTTTTTCATTTTGTTCCTTTTCAAATTGTAGTCAGAACAATGCATCTACATGTGGTATCATGCTTCCCTTCACACATTCTATATCATAATCAAAAACATTTAACTTTATAGCCCATCATATTAATATTCTGGATGATATAACTTTCAGCAATTTCTTCCTAGGATGGAATATAAATTGTAAGGGCTTATTATCAGATCCCAACAAAAATTTTTTGCCTAATAAAAATTGTCTTGCTTCTGGTCATACTCTATGCAATCACAAGTGCTTCCTTTTCAATATTAGAGTAGTTCAATTCAGCTGGTGTCAATGTCCTGGAAAGATACATTACTGGGTATCCTTCCTGGGACAAAATTGCCAATACAGACTGGCCAGTCACATCTGTGGTTAATGTAATGTCCTTTTTAGGGCCAAAAATCTTGACCACAGGTTTTTAAAAGTTAATGAAGGCTGTTCATTCAAACTCCTTATTCTTCTTTCGTAATTCAGAAAATGCTTCAATTCTTTCAGTATATTTTGACAAGAATTTGCTATAAAAATTGGCTAATCCAAGAAATGATTCCAACTATTTTTGGAGAAGATACATGTAATATTTTTGTAGTAATGTTGAGTCCAGCAAAGTCCAGCTGAAATTTGGTAACACAAGAATGTTCATTCTTTGCAATCAAATATACACTTATCTTCTTTTATCGTCATTCCTGCCTTCCTCAACTTATCCTTTACAAATTTAGTTTTTTGTTTCAGTTCTACTTCAGCGGTTGCACCTAAACATATATCGTCCTGATAAATTATCACATTTTCTACTCTCCCTGCTAACAAATTTTCTGTACTTTTTGAAAAATAAAGCTGGCTGTCTTAATTCCAAATGGTAAGCAGGACCATCTAAGTAAGCCTTGTGATTTCCTTAAATTTATCATCTATTTGAATTTGGTGGTATGCATTTTTTAAATCAATTTTCATAAAATATTTCATTCCTGTCAGAGAATGCAGTATGTTTTCTATGTTTAGAATAGGGCAAGAATCCAAACAAATCTTATGATTTACACCTACTATGTAATCTCTGCAAATTTTAAAATCACCATTAGATTTTCTTAAAACCACAATAGCCAATGCCCATTTGCTGCCTTCAGGTTCTACATATTGAAGAATGCCTTCTTCCACCATTTTTTGCAGCTTATCAACTACCATTGGCTTTATATGAATGGAAAGCCTACGGCTTTCAAAATTTGATGGATTGATATTTCTTTTTGTTAGAATTTTTGGGTACATTGGTACTAGTGAGCTAGCCAAAATGAGCTTACTCATATTATAGTCCACCAAGAGAAGGGTTAACCAATCAGAAAGCTCAAAATATTCAATCTGACGTGTATAAAGGCAGCCATTTTGTTTTTTCTCCCAAAATATCTTCACTGCCAACTTCTGATATCGAAGACTTAAAGAATTACTTAACAGCTGCTACTTTCTCCGAATCTTCACTGCCAACCTCTGATATTGAAGACATTATGGACTTCACTGGTTTCCATATTCAGAGACTACGGCAAACATGGTCAACACTTTTTAACTTAAGGCTCACTTTATAGTTTTTTAATGTCCCAGTTTCGGGACTTCCTGTATTCATAGCATTAAGTAAACATGTGCTATTAATATTTATCAAATCAGTTCATACTAAACTGTGACTTTTTATACAGTCTATGACCATAATAGTTACAGTTTAAAATCTATTTTTTGTTTCAAAAGTGTCTTGAATGGACCCTAATATTTTTATACAAGTTCCATCAAATTGTCTTAATCTTAGTAAGCTTTTCTTTAAATTTGTTTTGATAATTGTTCCCAAAGTTTTTGCAGAATAAGGGTCACTTTGCTTCCATTGTCAACTTGCATTTTTAAATCTACACTATTTAATTTAATATTTGTGAAGGTATTCTTTTCTCCTTTCTATTGAAAAATGTTTGTTTGACTTTTTACATTGTTTCTTATTTTTGTTAGTTTTTACATTGTTACTTCGCTATCTACATACAACTTGAAAGTAATTGTTCTTTTTGCATTTATTACATGTCTGTCCCCATGCTGGACAATTCTCTCTCTTTGATTCATGTTTATAGTTGCAATATCTGCATTTTATCATTGTTCTCTTTATTGCACATTTCCATAACCTAAGGATGGTTTTCATTTGCATTAAATTTTTCAATTAACTCCTCTTGTTGTATGAAGTCAATACAAGCTTCTAAAGTCATTTGCTTTCTCTGTAACCGCATTAAAATTTTTATACTATGAGAGGTGTTGTACAGTCCTTCTAATCGGAGTTTAATTAATTCTTTCTATGTGCTTATTCCTTGTTGCCCTAGTTCATGAAATTCACAATATCTTAGATATTTCCTTATAGGCTCCCAAAATTCTTGTTTCAATGCTAAGAATTTGGTCTGTTCGGCTATGACCAATCTTTTCTTTGGTTGAATATTTCTCAATATTATTTCTTTGACTTCTTTAAATGTCAAGTTTTCACTTTCAGTCATTAACAAAATCTGCCTAATGGCTTCACATCCTGTAGTGGCAAAAAATAGATCAGTGATTTCTTTCTGTCCTCCAAGTGTTTGGTCATCTCGTAATATCTTTATTCTGGCACATACCTCAAAGTATTTTATCCAAATCTTTATGTTTTCAGGTTCTTCTCTGTCAGGCAATGGCATTATGATGATCAAACTTAGTAACCATGGATATTCTATATACACTGACTTAAAGTTGCCCCTGAGCTATATCTATACTAATTTATGCTAATTACCTATTAGCTAAACCAAACCCATTACATTTTCATTATCTAATTAAAAACAATTGATGATTTTAACCTGTTTGCTACCAAGTATGTTAATGTGAGAATAACATACTAAGTTATCTTATCAGTGGTATTGAAAAGGGTAAAAATTATGTTGCCTCATCATATATTGACTTATCTTAGCCATTATTATATACCTTCCCATTTGGGAGGGGGGTAGTATGCTCATCTTGACTATTAAACTCACAAAGTTTCAGCCATTATATTCTCCAGTCTTCTTCAGGTATCTGTAACATTCTTAGTTTATTCAATCCATGAGGTAGATTGTTCTCATTGCTTTGGGAATATTGCATCTGAATTCTATGTAGTCTGTTTGCTTTTATGTCACTTCTCCATTTCACTGAACCAGAGTATATAACTTTTCTGCACTACCTGACCTAGAGATTACACTCACAACAACCAGGAAACCAGATATGCTTCAATCAATGTTTTAATCTATTAGGTCATGTATCTCTTGGATAATCCAGTGGTGTCATTTTGGAGCCTTATATCTAATGGCTACAACTTCATGGGATGGAATACACACAGATTTTGATCATGTTCTCTTCTAAGGGAATATAGTTTGAGAAGAGATATCGCCAAAAGTTGAACTGCTTTTGAATACCATTCTAATGATGTAGGAACAGCAGATCTTCTGAATCCTTATGTATAATAGACAGACCATGGCAGATTGTTGGCTCTGACTGCGCTGTCCTCACTCGTAGAAGCTGATATTATGCTTGCAGAGTGCTTCTTAGAGTCTTTCTAATGCTAAACATATCCAACTGGCATGTGTCTGATTTGCCACCAATTTGGCTTGATGCTATATGCTTTTCTTGATGCTGTATAGAAGGTGTGAATTGAAATTCAGGTACTGTCAGATTAATTTTAGCTTACAGACATCTTAAACCCATACTCTATGCAAGTTATTGGTATATCCAAGAAGTTCAGTTGATTTTTGCTTTCTTTTCATTTGTGAACCATAAGGAAGGTCTTATTGAGTTTATGTGGTTCATCTTTGGGTGCATATATTCCTAGAGACCGAAAGCGAAGGTGTCATGTAGAGATAACTATACATACAGCTAGTTTTAGTGATGACATTCCTATAGTAATTTCTTTAAAGTAGTCCATGTATAAGTTTGCCATTACTGGAGAATATGAATCTCATAGCTAAGCCATATATACCAATATACCAAAACCCAATTTGAAGTATGTCATTTGCACAGAGAATGTTAATATTTTCTTCAGGTTATCTACTGTGTGCTCTCCTAGAGAGGGATCCAATTAGAGTCTTATTTATGGGAAGCTTGGCAAATAGATTCACATATCCATAAGAGAGAGACATACCTGTTAGTTGTTTGATTCTACCTACAAGAAATCTGCCCAGTGAGTGACAGGCAACTAATAACAACTTTTACAACTGAATATAGGCCTTAGTTGAAGAAATAGACAAGTGAATAGATACAAGAGATTTGACTGATAGGAGATATTGGAATGAGAACACTCCATATATTGAACAGAGAGTTCAGTTCAACATTTGGAGGTTACCAAATATGACAGACCACTGAAGGCCAGAGGGTAAAACAGCTGAAATATTGTGAGTATAACAATTAAAATGAGTATTCAAGTCCAAATGAAAAGCATATAATAATAATTCATCATCTTAAAAGTTCTGGCATAAACAACCATCTATAGATAATGCACAAATAGAAAAAAAACAGAATATTACAATTAAAAGCAACAACCAATATATTTTTCCTATATATTCCTATTTTTCTGAATAAACTATATTTCAATATCCTTATTAAATAACCAAATTCAGATTATTTTAGAGATAACTATGCTCTTTTACCTTTCTATTACCTGACTAATATGGAGATTATTAATACTAATCCTCCCAAAGATTGAAATATTCATCATTGGTTCATTCATGAACTATTCTGACGTACTTGTTAACTAAAAATAACCGACACTTTTCCATAAAAGTTTCTAACAATTTGTTTGGGGTGGGAGTAAAAGATTAATTTGTTTCTAGAATCTATAATGGGCAATTTCAGAGCTTAAAAAATTTTCACAAATGAATACAATTTTAAAAGAAAATATTTTGCCAAATTTTTTATGAGTAAATAAAAGAGATTGAGGATGTTTAGAAGTTGAAACTAAACAATGGTTACAAAGATAATGTTTGGTATTTTCAACCAGTCATAAGAAATGGAGATGTCAGAAATCAATAAAAAGTAAAAAGGAATAAAATAAATATTCTAAAATATTCTTTGAAAATACAAAAATTGAAAGTATTTTCACTTTCATACCTTTAGAAATTAATCTAAAAATTGAATAAGAATTTTCTCTCTAAATCAAATATTCTTTATCTTTATCTTTTGTTTTACAGCTACATTTATGCTTCATCTTTATTTTAGAATCATCTACAAGAGACATGAAATCTGAGAATAGTTTTCAATATATTTCTACTCCTTTAAAATTATTGTTATATTATCTTAGTGAAAAACACAACAATGATCTTGACAATATAGGAAGATATTAGATAAATAACTGAAGACAAAATCTACCTGCTCAAAACTGTCCCAAATTCAGCAGTTTACACAGAGGCTTCTGCTTTAGTTGGACCAGCATTTGACAGATCTGAAACTTCTGAAAGAAAGACAGGTTAATACTTAAATTAAGTACAAAACAAGGAATAGAAATAATTTATATCAACAAAAACAAAATGCTGGTAATCAAATGCTAGTCAGTATTTTTTAACTAGCATAGAAAATTATTTAAATTAACAATTAAGCCTATATCTGAGTCTTAAAAGTGAAAAATTTACATAATAAAAAGTTTAATGCATATGTGGCCTTTTATATAGCACATTCATAACCTTATGTAATGGTTTGAATCAAATTAGTCAGTCTATTTTTTGTTGGAAATACATGACTTGAACATTTTTGGAGAGAGTTTATAGATTTAATTTTGTAGTATGACAAACAAGGGTCATATTTTTAAACTATTCTCAAAACAAAATTTGTAAATGCAGCCATGCAATACTTTACTGCAAAAATATTACTGAATCTGAAAACTGTAAAGCAAAGACATCCAGTACAACATAATTTTCTTCTGTGACAATAGATTAAAAAAGATTGTTCAAATAATATTTTATAAAAGGTTCCTAAGGGAGAAAGCTGTATAGTAAATAACAAATATTTTGATTGCTTTACATTAAGTTGAATATAGTCCAGCATCAAATGTCTGTATAGAGCTTGTGGGGCAAGTAGCAATTTGTTAACTAACAATCACTTGTAGAATAATTTGACAGAATATAAACAAATTTTCTTTTTTATTATGACTTTTTTTCTGGCACAGTAAAAAAAAAAATTAAATGTAAAACTTATACCTTATTATATGTTTTCAATGAGAAAATGAATATAAATGTAATTAAATTTAATTTTCTTAGGCAATGACATAAGTTTTACCATTAGCAATTACAGTAACTCACTGTAAATGCATTTTTGATTTAGGCTGAGAGATGTGATATTTTCCTTATTTCCAAATGCATCAATGATCAAAATAGTGAAAGTCATGGATCTAGTGAATATGAAGAATGAGGTAAAAGTTCTTTGCTTTATTTTCCTGAGAAAAAATTTCTATTGTTATGCTGGAAAAATAACAATGCAAGCATATGAAATTCAAACAATATGACAATGGTAAACATGACACTACCTTAAAGCCTTTATTTTGTCATGGGATTAAAATTATCATAAACTATAAGAAATGTACATCATAATAGTACAGAAGTTAAGCTAAATCTTAATCTTGTTTAATTTGACTCTACAGTAGTTAATCAGCTCCAAATTTACATATTACATATGTGATATTACTTTCCAAAGAACCTAAAATCCATAAAATAACACAAAGACATCTGCAAATCATAGAACAGATTTAAATATAGTTGTTGAAAACTTTGATTATTTTTTTAATATCTGCACAGCACTGTGTGCCATGCAATAAAATTAAAGAGCACTGCTAAAATTCAAGTTCAATTCCTAGAATTAAATAAACAGTATAAACTCAAACTTTTAAACCTAAATATTAGCTGCAAATAGTTTTTATTGTGATATTATGGAAATCATCATTAAAAGTCTAATAATGTATTAGAAAGTAATAAAATCCTAAAAATTATATTGATAAATGTTTTTGTCAAACAAATCAACATTTTTTATGCTTTAAGTACTTGTTTCTGACTACCTACTACTATTTATTACTCTTTTTTTCTTCTTCAAATTAACATTAATATGAAATGTTTTAAAATTCAAGTGTGGCTCACTGATTCATCTCTTTTCTTTTTAGGATTTTTAAAATATTTATTCTTAATTTTTGGTGATTATCATAACGTACAAATTATAACATTTAAAGGGAAAAAAAAATAGTAAAGACTTTACTAAGCAAGTTCAAACAAATACTTGAAACAAATGAAACAAAAGATTAGAAAGCACATGAAAAATAAGACTACTAACCTGGCTGTTCAGTTTTTGCTCCATCCATGCCAGACCCCTGAAAATCAGTATTGGTGGTTTGGGCATCTCTAGCATCTGGGGCAGAATCCTGGTAAGTTATTGGCTGATTAGTAGAGGAGGAAGAGGAGGTTTTTGTAGTATAGGCTGCCATTTTTAATGAAGTTTGAGATTTTCCAAACTCTGCTTCAAGAAGTTCATTAGCCAGACTCTTGCCGGATCCTTCACTGCTTACAGACCTGTCAAGGCTGTTGCTCTCACTGATGTCACTTCCCTGTTTCTTGGACAGCAACACTGATTCCACATCATCTTTTACACTCAGCTTCCAGGCACCTGCATCCTTCACTGTTTGGATAGTCTCTTTGACAGTGACAGTGCGAAGAGTATTTGATGAATAAGATTTACTTTCTTCAGCTGATATTTTCTCTGTGTTGCTTATATTTGATGATTCCTTAACTAGATTTTGCTCATCATTATTGTTTTTCACTTGAACATTTTCTTCTAGAACCATACTATTTTTCTGTGACATAGAATTAGTACTTAGGTTATCTTTGCTATTGTTATTAGTGTTTTCAGTTATTGAGCATTTTTCCATATTATCATTGTCGTTTTCTTCTTTTAAATGGTCCTCATCAAAAATTTCTTTTGTATCTTTAAACTCATCATCCTCATCACTAACACTAAAGGATGTCATTTTCATAGATTCATTGCTGTTTGGATTTATGTCTTTTGCTTCTTTGCTGCCTTTGTCTTCAGGATCAGCCTTGAGAGCCAATGACACTGGACTCTTCACTTCTGACCCTCCTTGACCAGGGTTGGATTCAAAGGAGGAGGTAGAGGAGGAAGATGGAGCAGCACTGGCTGCATTTGCATCTTGGACCGTATCTTTTCCATCAACAATGGTAGAAGATAGTTTACTGGAGCTGCTACAGCAGTTATCAATAGGGTCCTTGGGGATTTCCTCATTATTATTGTTATTATCTCCACTGCTCTTTGAGATATTTGGTGCTATCTCAGAGACCCACTTGAGATTATCAGCATTACTTGGGGGAGTTTTTATTAATTCTGGAGAGGTAGGGACAAAAGCTGGGGCTTCAGGGTTCAGCTGGCATTCAACTCTCAGAGGTTCATGGGTTTTTTCAACATCATTGTAGACCAGATCATTACCATCAACATAATATTCTTCATCTTCAGCACATTCTTCCCACTCATCTCCTTCACCCATACCATGCATCAGACTATAGTGAGGATCATTATCTGCATCCTCATACATGCCCTCATACAACTCACCATCCTCAATATACTCATCTTCAAGCATAACATCTTCCTCATCTTCATCTTCATGATGACGCTCTCCATTTTGTTTAGCTGCTTGGGACTGGTCCCAAGAGTTTTCCTGAATTGTACCCCACATCTTCTCTGCTGGAGCAGTGCTGCTATGAGTGGGACAGGACTTACTGTAAGAGGAGGTGGCTGATGCATGTGACAGAGTTTGGCAAGTGGGAACAGCAATGCTAGCACTGCTGTTACCAACAGCCTTTCCAGCAATAGCATCTGTATCAGAGTACTCAACTTCAACATCATCTCCAGCACCAGGAGAGTTGTCAATTTTCACCACAAGGAGGTCACGGGTGCATTCTACTTTGCGAGAATCATTTGCAAGGTTAGGAGGAAGAACACGGTTGCGTGGGGTTACACTAATGCCTCGACCCCGACCTCGTCCTCGGCCCAACAGTTTTTTGCCTTTTTCACTCTTTTCTCCTGAAAAAAAATATTTAAATTTTACAAGATGGCAAAAAAAAGTTTTACAAGATGATAAAAAAAAAATTTGACTTATGTAAAGTAGAGAAAGAATGAATAGTTTCAGATATTCTCTTTAATTTTAATTTAACCAGGTCATATTAATAAAATGCAAAAGAAATGAATTAGATGTATATGTCTTAAAAAAATTTATTGTCTGAAATAGAACTAATGAGAGAAGCTGTTTTGACAGTTTGGTTACTTAAGATTACATCCAGGGAAAGATTTTTTCTTTTGCAGACTACTCATGTATTTCAAAAAAAAAAATGTAATAAATTAAATATATACATTTATGGAAAATATATAAAACAATTTGTAAAATAGTTTTATATATTAAATAAAAATTGATTTCTAAACTGTTTACATATTCCACCAAATTTAATCCAGTTTTACTCACATTAGAGAGAGACATGGCATATGCTGATGTTTTTTATGAAAGTATTTATTTATTTATATATATTTGATATTTCAGATTGACCTCAATCTTTCTTCAGAAATAACTGTTTTAGAGGTTTGTTTAAAAGTAGTGTTTGTCAAAACATAGTAATTTTTGATGTACGGACGTCGTTTGTGATATGGAAGCGTCACTGTGTTCGGATATATTCCTAACTCAATAAATCTAACTGTAATGGACTTTTTAGATGTTAAAAAAATTTTTAAAATTTTAACAATATCTAAAAAAATGTTTAACTATTGAAATATTTATAAAGATTTAAAAAACAAGTCTTTATTTAACCCTAGTTTATATGTATTTAATTTTAAGTTCCAGTATTTTTTTTTTTTCTGCGTGAAAATGTGTTTTTTAAAATCAGAATCTATCAATAAACATTTGTTGTTTAATGGAATGACTTGATTATTTTAAATGGGGAATAAATATTTAAACGTATTGTTTTTTTTATGATTTTTAAAACGATTTTTAAAATTTTTTAAACAACACCAAAATATTATTACAGTTACATTTAGTTAAGAATATTTGAAACATTAGTTTCCATATCAAGGTGATTTGTATATTCATCATCGCAGACAGGACGCTATTTTAAAAACAAAAAAAATGTTATTTCTGAAGAAAGATTGAGGTCAATCTGAAATATCAAATATATATAAATAAATAAATTTTCAAAAAAAATTATTATTTTTTTAATTTGCAACTTTTTTATATATATATATATATATATATATATATATATATATATATATATATATATATGAACATATATATATATATATATATATTTAAAATATATATATATATATATATATATATATATATTTAAAATATATATATATATATATATGAATAAATATGGGAATATATATATATTTATATATATATTATAAAATTGATATATATATATATATATTTAAAAAAGATATATATATATATATATATATATATATATGTGTATGTGTGTGTATGTATATGTATGTATATGTATATGTGTATATATATATTGTATGTATATATATATATATATATATATATATATATATATATATATATATATATAATGATATGTATATATATATATATATGTGTTTTTGAACATAGAAATATTTGGTATATGTAAATGAGACAATCGTTATATTCATCTTCATATATTTATATTTGATTTATAACCTGTGGTCTTTGTGTAATTTTCCCAATTACAAAGCGGCCCTTTAAGTAAACACAATTTTATTTTCCTTCGTCCCATCTCTCTCCCCATTATTTATATTTTTTTTTTTTTTTTTTATATATTCCTATCCGAATTGTCTCTATGGTGTGTATATGTCACCATGAAATGTATCTTTATGTATTAGACATCCGTCAACTTTCATTTTATTTCTCTTTTAAATCCACCCCACCCAATATCTCCAAAAAATTCTCTCTGTTAAGGTTTATATATTATGTCCTCCTGATATATTTTTTCTCTAAATTCTGTTTTGATTTCGAAGTTGTTTTTTTCTGTTTTCACAAAATTTGTAGGTCTGATGATTTGGATCGTATTTACGATTCCAATGGGAAAATTATGACCATGGAATATTAGTGTTTAAGCTTTTTTTATTATATATATATATATATATATAATATAGACATTGAGTTCTACCTGGATCCTTCCTATTGGAAAATTTTTTCTGAAAATATATATATATATATAAATATTTATATATATTTTTATATAATGTATATTTTCCACTAATATTATATATATCTATTTATCTATATATATATATAAATATATATATATATATATATAAAATATTGTCAAAAAAACAAAATATATAAATATTTTTTTTATATATATATATATATTAAAAAATTCATATATATATTTATATATATTTATATTTATACATATATATATATATATATATTAATATATCATATATATATTCATATATATATTTAAGTCAATTTTTATATATATATATAATATATATATATATATATATATATATATTTATAAAAAAATTTTTTAATAAAATTTATAAAGATTTAAATATGTTTTAATTTTAAAATTTTTCAAAATATTTTTTTTATATCTTATATATATATATATATATATATATATATATATATATATATATATTAAAACAAAAATATATATATATATATATAAAAAAATAAATATATATATATATATATATATATATAAATTTAATATATATATATATATATATATATAAAATATATATATATATATATATATATAATATATATATATATATATATATATATTTAAAAAAATATATATATATATAAATATATATATTTAAATATATATATATATATATATATATATATATATATATATATAAATTAGATATATATATATATATATATATATATATATATAAAAATATTTATATATATATATATATATATATATATATATATATTTAAATATATTTAATATATGTAATATATATATATATATTTAAAAATCAATTTCAATTTAATAAATAATTTATAAACCTTAAATTAAACAATTTTTTATAAAGAATGAATTAAAAAAAAAGATCAAATATATATTTTAATATACATTGATAAATTATTTTTCACAAACAATATTATTTTTTTTTAATGAATCAATGAAGATAAAATATCCAAATATAAAATGAAAAAAATATATATGCATTTATGATATTTAATACAATTTTTAAACATTAAAATACAATGTTTTTTATTTTTAAAATTTATTTATTTTTATATTGAATTAAACAAATAAAAATATTCAACAAAATCAAATATTTTCATATTAAGAAAAATTTTTTATACAATAATGAAAAAAATTATTAGAAATTTAGACGGAAATTGAATTTTTTTTTATATATTTTGATAATTAAAAATAAAAGGAAGGAGAAAAGAATTTAATTCCTTGAAAAAAAAAGAAGAGAAAAAAAAAGATAAAATATAAATTAAAAAATGTCAGGTTATAATTATTTTTATAAATATTATATATTCAATTATTTTTAAAAAGCTTGACAATGCATATTTAATTAGATGAAATATGTTTTGAAAAAAACCCCAAATTAAAAGAAATATATATATGATTTATTATATCAATTTAAATATTTAAAATTTTTTACAATCTATTTATTAAACAAAATTTAAATTTATTTTTAAAACTTTATAACGGATTTATAAAAATTAAAGTAAAAAATTTTAAATTTATAAAAGTTCATTTTTTTTAGACCAAAAATGCATTTTTAATATAAAATTTAAAAAATTTGCACTAATATAACTAAAATCGTCAAATCAATTTTAAAATAAAAAAAATATATGAATTTAATTAGCATTAATTACATTATAATATATTTAATTTTTCTTAGTTAATACTAATTATAGGTTTCAAATAAAAAAAAATTTAAATTTAAATTAAATATTTATTTTATAAATATATATACATATATATTAATTCATCCATAAAAAAAAATATATATATATATATTTTATATGTCTTAATGATGACATTTTATACACACATATAATATAAAAATTTTATATAATTCATATTTTTACAAATTTACCATACACATAAATTTAAAAAAAATAACATATATTTTTATATTTGAATTTATTTAATTTTTTGGATTTTGTTTTTTATAGATTAATTAAATTTTTCCCTCTTTTTGACAACTGATTTATATAATGGTATTTAAATAAATTATCAAATTAATTTAATATTTTATCGCTCAATATTTTATATAATAAAAAAGATTGATATATTTAAATATAATTTAAATTATCAATTTAAATGAAAATTAAAAAATTGTAAATAAATATTGAAAATATATATATATTTAAACCAAAAAGATTGAATATATTAAATAACTTTATATCCTTTTTATAAATATATCCATAGTAAACAATTTCATTATTATGTTCAAAATTTTGAAATTCATCAGAGTTATGACAAAATGGAAAAAAAAAATCTAAAAAATTCATAAAAATAATTCATTGTAAATTTTAAAATATTTTTATTATATTTTTTATATTATTTAAAATGTGCAATTTAAAATAAATTTATAGATATTTGTATAAAGATGAATATTGCTAATTAAAAATTTGAAGAACAATATATATCTTATATGATATGATTATATAAAATAAAATAAAATCTTTTATTCTTTATGTAAAAATTTTTAAATTTTAAAAGAAATATTGAATTTTATTTTATATATAATTACATTAAAGATTTATGATAAAGGATTTTAATTTTGTATTTGATTTATAAATATATATTTATTTAATATATAAGAAAAATAAGTCATATTATATAAAAGGGAAAATAGGTTTCATATGTTTTAATAAATATAAAAATATTTTAAACTAATTTAAATTAAATTTTTAATCAATATTTCCATAGAATTTAATAAAAATTAAATTTATAAATATATATTTAAAATTTTTTTAAATCAAAATCAATTATATAAAAAAAAAAAAAATCTTTTATACCTTTTTTTTATAAATAATTCAA